TTCCCTCTTGTTTTTGGTTAACAAGGATATCTGATCTTTCCGGTTGCTCCTTTCATATGGAAGGTGTTGTGGTTAATTGCATGTATATATTTCATGATTTGTCTCCATCTTCTGATATGCAGATTGCTTGATCGTGATCTCGTGGAGGCGGAGGAGGTCTCAGTGGATGATGAAGAGGAGAATGGATTCTTAAAGGCTTTTAAGGTTTTCTTGCCTCTTATCTTCCTTTTCTGTTAGTTTTTCTCTGGATCAGAATTCACTGATTCTCAATGCTCCATTTGAAACTATGGTTTTCGTGTTCTTAAATTCCTTGATAGTCATTGACTGTTTTGTTCTGGCTCAAAGTGAAATCTAACTCAGTGAAAACTAATGATGATTACTTCGCTTGTGATGATGTTGTTTGAGCCAATATATTGATTTGGTTACATTTCTTTGTGGCCTGGTTATATTTAATGTTTTATTTGAGTGGTTTTTAGACTTAGCTGGAACGTAAGGCTGTTTCCTGTGTTGCTGCTTGTGACGTCGTCATATTCGAATGCCCTAAAAACACTCTTGTGTTTAAATGTGTATAGAAACTGTTTTAAAGCGATTAGGGTGTCTGGTATCTTTTTAGTGTCATTATCTCTGAAAATAATTTCCCTTGTAATTCTGTGATTTTCATGTATACTAGGTGGCAAATTTTGAGTATATAGATGAAAATGAGGCAGCTGCATTAGAGGCACAGAGAGTCGCTGCTGAAAGCAAATCTTCAGCAGGCAATTCTGATAGAGCAAGTTATTGGGAAGAGTTGTTGAAAGATAAATTTGAGCTGCACCAGGCTGAGGAGCTTAATGCTCTTGGAAAAAGGAAGAGAAGTCGCAAGCAGGTTTAGTCTCTTTTTGATCCCCCTTATACAGTTGTGGCATCACATTGATAACTGAATTTGATTATCCACCATTTAAAATCTCTCTCATTCTGTTTTCTACTTCTTCCCTTTCAAATTCCTTAGGTTACTAAATTCAGGAAGTAATAATTCTGACAGATTGTAGGGTTTTTCTATTGGGTCAAGTAATTGGGGTTGGTAAAGGCTCAATCAACTAAAGTCTTCTGTTTTTCCCTAAAAGAAATACATTTTGCTTCACTCTCTATTTTAGTTGATAAGTTGATATAGCTCATAACTGACAATATACTTTGCTTTGGTTCGTCATCAATTGGTACATATCTTTCAGTCAAGGCTGTTCTAATTCTTATATGGGATATTTCTATAGTTGGTGTCCATTGAAGAAGACGATCTTGCTGGTTTGGAAGATGTCAGCTCTGATGGAGATGAAAGTTACGAAGCCGAGTCAACAGATGGTGAAGCACCAGGGCAAGGAGTTCAAACGGGTCGACGGCCGTACAGAAGAAGGGGTCGGGGTATTACTACGTTTCTGAATTTCCTTAACTAGTGATATTAAAAGTGTGCGCAGTTAATTAGATGAGTTTTTTTTTCCTGTAGATAACTCGGAGCCAACTCCTTTGATGGAAGGTGAGGGAAGATCTTTCAGAGTACTGGGTTTCAACCAGAGTCAAAGGGCCATTTTTGTGCAGACGTTGATGAGGTATATTCTTTCCAATAAGGCCTTTAGACACCAGAAATTATTCCGCCGAAATTTTATATTTTTGTCTCCCAATGCATCAATATTATCCTCAGCCTTGCGTTGCACATAATTTACAAGTTTTTCTGAATGGCCAAAAAATTGCAGGTATGGAGTTGGCAACTACGACTGGAAGGAATTTGTTCCTCGCTTGAAGCAGAAGACCTATGACGAAATAAAAGAGTATAGGCTTTAAAACTGTTCCCTTCTTCTTTTTTACCAAAAAAAAGAAAAGAAAACGCATCACAATTAAAAGACATTTTATTTCACCTACTGGTTTTTAATAACTTTGCTCAGGTATGGAATAACCTTCTTGAAGCACATTGCTGAGGATATTGACGAGAATTCTCCTACCTTTTCAGGTGATTGAAATTCATCTTTTCATTGCTTACTGCTTTTCTCTAAATGTGATTTTTGCTTCTCCTGTTAACCTGTTAAATGTATTACTAAAATGGTCTTTTGTCTGCAGATGGCGTGCCCAAGGAAGGACTTAGAATAGAAGATGTTCTAATCAGAATTGCTGTTCTAATACTAGTACAGGATAAGGTGAGTCTATCGACTGTAATCCTTAAATAAGTTATCGGTTTTATGTCTGAGAGCCAATGCACAGTGCTGCCACATAATGATTGGAATTTATGTATATATGTGTTATTGTTATTGTGGACATTGAGTTAGATGATGCAACAGAAAAGTAGCTCTAATTTTTGTTTTTTGTTGGTTCTAGGCTATAGTTTTGATCCCTATCAAATTTTCAGTACAGTAATTATATGTTTAAACCATTCTTAAGTTCTAAGAGACCTACGATGTTTCTGTGCATTAATGTGGTAAAACGCTTTATTTTCTCTGTTTCCTGTCACTTTGTATAGAAATAAAGGAAGCTGCGTTTTCGAACCTCTTGTAGAATTTTCTTTTTGTTGTCGTTCTTAAGCTTATCGCACCAAAGTTTTGATCCTGAGTTGCTCATGTTTTCTTCTGGTGCTCTTGCCTGACAGGTGAAATTTGTAGAAGACCATCCAGCAAAACCTCTTTTTCCCTCCCGCATTCTTGAAAGATTCCCAGGACTGAGAAGTGGAAAAATTTGGAAGGAGGAACATGACAAGATAATGATACGTGCTGTTTTAAAGTATGAACCCTGCACCACTGTTCTCACCGAATGGTTTTATATTCTCATAATATTCCATTATTTGCTTACATCTTCCTTTCCTTCACTGGATTTTTGAATCTTTAGGCATGGGTATGGACGATGGCAAGCTATTGTTGATGACAAAGAGTTGGGGATCCAAGAGCTTATCTGCAAAGAATTGAACTTCCCTCACATAAGTTTGTCTGCTGCTGAACAAGCTGGCTTGCAGGGGCAGAATGGTAGTGGAAACTCCAATCCAGGAGCACAGACTAATCAGAATCCTGGAAGCGGTAATACTGGGAACAATAATGCTTTTGCTGATGGGGCCCAAGTAAACTCGATGTTCTACTATCGAGACATGCAGAGGCGACTTGTTGAGTTTGTGAAAAAGCGAGTTCTACTTTTGGAGAAGGCATTGAATTATGAATACGCTGAGGAGTATTATGTATGTTGTGTCTATTTGAAGTTTTGGTACTTATTCACATGTCTTGCGCTGAATTGTTTAACTTTATTGAATATCTGGTTGCAGGGACTTGGTGGCTCATCATCTATGCCTGCTGAAGAGCCAGAAGCTGAACCAAAGGTCGCTGACACAGTGGGAGTGAGCTTTATTGAGGTCGATGATGAAATGCTTGATCGACTTCCTAAGACTGACCCCATCAGTAAGTTTCATGACAAGTTTCTTTATTCAACGAGTTGTTGGTTCTAATGTGAGCCGTCTAAATCTTCTGCAGCTTCAGAAGAAGTTATGGTGGCTGCTGATGACAACAACCAGGCCCGGGTTGAAATAGCTGAACATTATAACCAGGTAAGCTGTATTTATTTTTTCTTTAGAAGGCTAATATCTTAAACCAGTATATTTTACTCTAATCCCTCTGCGGTTATCCAGCTGTGCAAAGATTTTGATGAAAATGCTCGTGAGGCAGTCCAAGCATATGTAAACAACCAACCACCGAGTAGCAAGCTAACTGAGAGCTTCCGTTCACTCGAATCTATCAGTGGTAACATTAGCACAATCCTTTCGGCTCCATCTGATCAATCGAAGTCACATGAAGACGACACCAAGCCAGACCTAAACAATGATGAGATGAAGGACACAGCCAAAGAAACAAAACCGTTAAGAGGCAGCGTCGATCTGAATGTAGTGGAGGGAGAAGAGAACATTGGAGAAGCTAGTGGAAGTTTTGATGTGAAAATGGAAGAAGCCAAAGAAGACGAGAAACCACAGAACATGGTCGTGGATTGACTCAACTTTTAAGTATTTAAAGATTCAAGACCAAATGGGTCATGAAGTAGGAACTGATATTATTGTTCTTTTATTAAATTATGATGTATGGACTTATTCTTCCTTATGTAAGACTTGGATTCTCAGCTCTAGTTTCTGCTTATGAAATATTTGAGAACATTTAGGCTAACTTTGATTTTGTTAATGTTTATCTATTTTTAGAAAGTTATCTTGTTCTGGCTCCAAAGGTATCATGAAATTACAATTTCTCATTTTAGGACTCAGATTGGATTCAGTTTCTCATTTCAAACTCAGGCCTCAAAACAGAACTAAATAATGCTAACATACAAATACAACTATGATATATAATAGTTTAGGCCCAGGCAAAAAACCGGAACCAAGAACCGGAACCAGAACCGACTTGAAAAATTTGAACCCAAAATTTTAGATTTATCGTATTAGGTTAACTCCTAACCCCAAATATCTGAACCCAAAACCCGGAAAAAACCCAAAATATAAATACATATAAATAAGTTAAGACCTGAATATCTGAATATTAGAATTTTTACCTGATATTCAAAAATTTTACACGAAAATCAGAGTATTTACCAAAAGCTCGTTGTATTTGTCCAAAAATCCGGATATTTACCCAAAAATTTCAAGAAATACATTCTAAAAAAATCATGTTTGTAGCGGTTATGAAAATATATACTCGATCCGACCATTACCCAAAAGGATCCAAACCGAACTCTGACTAAATTTTTACATTTACCCTATCGAGTTCTACTTCTTCTACCCTAAAAACTAGAAACCAGAAATATCCAAACCCGATCCGAGTATCCGAATGCCCAAAAAAGAACTTCAACTTGGGTTGACTTTAAAATAATGGCTTTGAGTGTACGAAGGAATCTCTTGCTTTAAACTCGTCATCATTAACTTTATCTTGAATATCAATCATTCACCTTTTGTCGTCTTCTCTACATAAACTTTTGTCGTCGTTATAATTTTTAATTAACAGATAAAGAAACTGCAGAGCAATACAAATGATGAGACTTTACAATAAGTAAAAAATAAAAGTTTATTTATGAATTCTTTTCTTTATTATTTCTTCTTTGGAGTCCTAAATTGCTAGAACCAGTGGGAAAAAAAAAAACAAATAGTTTACAGTTTCAATACACAAAAAGATGAAAAAAAAAAGAGATAAAAAGCAATCACAAGATAAATGTTGTTCTCTCATATGCATGTTCTGAGTGAACTAAAGCCACCATATCCCAAATCTCCTCCAGACAATTCTCCCTGGCTTTGTTCCTGTCATTTACAATGTAAGTTAAGTATATTCCACAAAGAATCTTCAAATAAGAATGCTTTCTATTGGACAAAGCTTTAATGTCACACCTGCTTCATTGTGGAGTTGACTATATCATCTAAGGAGCCAGCATCTGCACTCATGAAACCACCACTCTGTAACTTCTGCTGCCCCACAACAAACCCTTCTTTCGGGTTAGTACTCAACATAGCATCAGTTGTTGGACCGTAATTGCCTGATTGTCTCATCTGCAATGAATCATAAAAGCCTCCAGGTTGCGCATTTGCATTTGCATTTGAATTGAAATCTGTGTTTCTGCTGAAAGCTCCTGGATTTGGTGTATCCAAGGCTTGAGGACTCATTGTGCTGGCAGAGTCACAGAATGGTATAGAGTAGCTTGATGAAACGTTGTTCCATTCCAAAGGGTCGGGTCTAGAATGCGGTAATGGGGAGACATCGAACTGATGATGGATGCTATTACTGGTCTGGGGAGGAGGAAGAGTTGATGAGGATACAGCGTTTGACCAATGCTCCAAACGTTTGTTGTTCTGGTGTCCCGGAAAGCCTGGAGGAGATGCTTGTGGGTGACCATCTAGAACCACGAGATTGTTATTAGGAGCTCGGATGAGTGAGTTTTGATGTGTAGAGAAGCTAGGAAAAGCCATGGAGCTCCCTGCAATGCTCTTGTTATTGTTCATATTTCTAATGTTGTTGTTATTGTTGTTGTTGTTGTTGTTGTTTGCCTGAAGCTGGTCGAACTCTAAAGGCATTGGCAACCCTTGAAGTATGTTTCCTCCATCACTGTGATTGAGAGGAAGTGATGAGGAGACATGGTGAAACTTTCCGAGATCAGTCTGGTTTTGCAAGAACATTCCTGCAGGAGGAGAAGAAAGGTTGCGCACACCGATCCCTGAAGGAGTATTGAGTCGGCCAAGAATCCCATTTGAAGGGAACGGTCTCATTGGGGGAGCCCCACCATGGAACTGACCAGGTCCAACAGGGATAGGGCGGTGGTGGAAACTGTCAAGTCCATTGAGAGAAGAACTCATTTGCAAAAAATGTAAGTCAGAGTTTGCCATAATAGCTTGTTGATTAGTCACACCACTGATCCTCTTCAAGTAAAGTCGAAATTTCTGCATCCACAGCAAACAACGGCATAAAGCTTTCACGATTTAAAGACTTTGCTTCGGTTTACGTTAAAGAAAACATGAAAGACTCTTTGTAACCTGAAGATGACTAGCCACATTTTCTCTAGTGAGCTTCTCAACATTCATCAGATCCAAAATCTTTTTAGGCATAGCCTCTGCAACCAAAACAACACACACAAAAAATGAGTGTTTGATGACAAATTTGTTTAAACAATGAAGGTCACATGGATAAGCTTACTCTCATATCCCAACTGATTAACAGCTGCAACAAACTTCTTATGCAGCTCGACAGTCCAAACAACACGTTGCTTCTTTGCAGCTGACGAATCATCGTTATCATCTCTTTCCTCATCCTCATCTTCATTATACTGATCTTTACGTTTCCTATTAGCTCTCCCACTGTTCTGATCAGAATTACCAACACCTTCATTACCCGATCCATCTCTCTTCTCACCATTATTACTCCCACGGTTCTTTCTCACAACATGTTGCCATATGTTCTTCAGCTCCTCAATACGAACAGGTTTCAACAAATAATCACAAGCACCATGAGTAACTCCCTTCATCACATACTTTGGATCACTATGCGCAGACAACACTACAACAAGAGACATCATCATCAATTCATCATAAAACCAAAATCCAAGTCTAAAGATCAAAGCTTTCCAAGAAATCAAATCCAAAAATCAAAACTTTATCCTGTAGTCATCATCATCAACCAAAACCAAGTCTAAAGATCAAAGCTTTCCAAGAAAATCAAATAGTCATGAAGGTAAAAAATGACAAAAAAATTAAGATATAAAATTAGAAATAATAATTAGACTTACTTATGACAGGTAGGTCCATTTCAAGACCAACAAGCTCAAGGAGTTTGAAACCATCCATGTCAGGCATGTCAACATCACTAATAACCAGATCAAACTTGTTCTTGTTCTCTCTCAATAACTCTAATGCCTTTTGTGCTTGGTTCGTCGTTGTAACTGCAGTAACGAAAGAGTCATCAATTTAAATTCCCCAACACAAAAACCAATCAAAAGTCTCAGTTTTTATAAAACTCAAAAGAGACAAAACTTCAAATCAACAACAATGAACTCTCTCTTCTCTCTCTGTCTCTCTCTGACACACATATAATAGCAAAATCAAGATTGAGTAGATTAGAACTCACATAATGAGAAAATGCCAAATCTTTACACAAATCTAAAACTGAATCAAAAAAAAAAACTATCCAAATCACCTTTATTGAAAGATTCCACATATATGTGGTTGGTCAAACACAAATCCAAGAAACCCAAATCAAGAAAACATGAAAATCAAAACTGAATCTTACAAAACAGATCCAAGAAAACAAGAATGGTCAAATCAAGAAAGCAGAGCAGAGAGAGAGAGATATGAACCATTGTATTGGCAGTGACGAAGCAAAGATTCAAGGATTCTGAGACAAGTCTGGTCATCATCAACAGCAAGAACTCTCATTCCTATAGGAAACTGATCCAAAGCTTCGAAATTTTGTTCCACAGTCATCTTTTACAACAGACCCTGAAACGAAAAATCCGATTTTTTTCTTCTTCTTGCAAAGTGTTCAAGAGAGAGAGAAAAAGTTGATGTGCAAAGAAGAACGTCGATGACTCTCAACTCAATGAATGGGTCTAGAGAGAGAGTATAGAGAGAGAAAGGAGTATATAATAAAATAATATTTAGATTTAGAGATAGAGAGAGAAGATTTTTTTATTTTTTATTTTTTTATTTTTCCAGCAGAGAGTTAAAAAAAGGAATCTTATTTAGCTATATCTATAAATGGCTATGAGAAACTGTGTGTGATCATCTTCTTAGACTAGCCAATCCACTTTTTCTGCAATTTTTATTTTTATTTTTTTCAATTTTATTTGGTTCTCTTATCATTACAAAAATCAGAAAGAGCCTTTGAAACATAACCAAATATAAACCAAACATAACCAAATGAATAACTTTGGTTTTTGTTTTTGACTTTTTGTATAGTTTGTTTTAAACCAGTCCAGTTTGGTTGTGTGTGTGTGTTTGTTTTTGTATTGGTTGTTTTAAAATGAACAATTACACAAATACTGTATGTACTCAAATATACAATGATGAGAATATTATAATTACTCAAACATATCTAATTTATTTGAGTATAATATAAATGCGACTAATATGTTTGAGATATACTTTTATGTATCGTTGTTTCGTATATTTTTAAATATCTATGATTACGAATATTTGAGGGTATTTTTCTTTAAATATTGTTTTGGATTCAGTGCCTCTAAATTTTGTGTCGATTCGATTTAGATTTATGATTCCGGTTATTTCGACAATGCTTAGATTCAGTTACATGAACTTGGCACTAAAATGAAACTAGTGATGTGAAATAAACTAAATTGGACTAAATTTGCTATTCCCGGTTCAACTTAAACATCGGTTAAATCAGAAGTACTCTCGGTTCAACCTAAACATCGGTTACCTAATTTTAATTAAGACCAAATTGGTAGCCATATTTAGTACTCCCGGTTCAGTATCTAAGCACGAATTAATTAGTAACTATGATTTCGAAACAAAATAAAATTATTGTCTAATTTTTTCTTGCAGTTAATTAATTGTGTAAATATGGGAAAGTGTTTTAAGAAGAAGATTTGGTTTAATCTCATTTATATCGTATCATTATTCTGAAGATCACATTTTGATTCTTGTTCATCTAGGATTGTCCAACTGTTTAACGGACGGAAGAAATTAAATTAGTTTTCCATAATTTCAAATAATTTTTAAATACTTTCCATAGCATTTGTTTCAGATTTGTGTTGTATAATTTTTTGGATTAAAAAAAATTCGTAGTGTCAGAAAAGCCCACTAACCGTGTTTATATTATTCGTGTTTGATTGTAATTTGTAAGATGATTAAAAATGTTAATTTACAATACATGATTTTGTGTTAGTTTATGGTTACTACCTCACCTTAATGTCAATGTACCGTTTCTTATTGATAAGAAACAAAACATGAATCATTATTTCCTATCAAAATATGTTTAACAATTAGAAAGTTATCATCTTTTGGTGACCATTTTAATGGATAAAAGAAATTGAATTGTTGGATTGATTACGTGGTGAGTTCAAAAAGAATAGAGGCTTTGTTTTATTTATGTTTAGGTTCTTGTGTATATGGTTGTCATATTATTCATATGGATAACAACATAGTGAGTTTGAATGATGATGAGCACATATACTATTCCAAAGTCTTATTACTAAAGAGAATGGATATATATTTTCTGAGTGGGTAAGAAACGCTAAAGCAAACACTCATCGAATCTTCAACTCGAGAATCATAAACTAACAAAACGACGTCGTTTTACTCAACTGTGATGTTCTGTCATTTCCATGATGTTGGTTGATTCATCGTCGTTAAGTGGTTAACTAACACCGTTTTGGTATATGTTGATTTTGGCTGGTATCATATAGTTTAGGTTGGAAATTTAAATTTTGTATGAGTTGAGGTTACTATTTGACGTGTATCGCAGTTTAGGTATATAATTACTGCTAGCAAATAGTGTAGGTTGATTTTCGCTATTTTCCCTTTCACAGATAGATCAAAGTCAAAAAATCTATTGATTTTAGATTTTTTTTATTACAAGTATTTTAATAAATTTTTATATGTAAAAATTATTCATTTTTGTATTAAAACTACAATAAAATTTTAAAGAAAAAAAACCACTTTAGGAAATAGTAGATTTCAAGTTGACAAAATAATATAGTTCAAGTTTTAAAAGATGAGACAGGCTTTAGAGAGAGCATGCTCGAGCTTGGAAAGTGTGTTACACGCGTGAGCGTGCGTCAAAGACTCTTTCTTACATACAGTTGGAGACTTGGAAATAGATTCTTAAAATTATGTAATAGTAATAACTAAATTTAAAATCGTATATTTCTATTTTAAGAAATGAGAATCTGAAAAGCAAGATGACTTTGACATCAATCTATTTTAATATGGAAGATTGAAATGTGTAGGTTTATCATTCTGAGGAGTGTATAAGAAAAAAATAATAATAGAAGGACATGTAAGATTCTTGAATTTTGGAAATTGTATAATATTTTCTGAGGTGTTATCAAAGGTTCTTAGTAAGTTATATTTTTTATTTATGTAATGATACTGACGCGTAGATATCGTTGTTTCGAGTAACGCTAACAACCATAATTAGACTATATAATATGCTATGGTTTTGGACTTATAATGTTTTAGTTAATGAAAAAACAACAACTACTAAGTGAATAATTATGAAGAAACTCAATTAATGGAAACGAGATAAATGAATCTATGAAATTTTTGGCTATCCTTCATATATTCTAAAATATCGGATCGATGGTTCGAGAAAGTCAGAACGATAGTTCGCAAGAACAACTCTGCAACTAGTACAAAGACGTACAATAGATAGTTTTATCGCAAAAAAAAAAAAAAGAAAAGAGTACCTCTATTCAGCCAAAAATATTTGAGAAAACCTATGATTTAGGTAAAATATAAGCATATCCTAGCATTAGCATCACACATAAATTAATGAATGAAGATTCACTTTTATCATTATATAAATACCATAAATCCAAAAAAAAACCCCAAGATTATCATATGATAAACCCAACTAATAGACTACTCATTCATGTTCATAATAAAATAAATAAGATAGAGGGATGAAAAACAAATCACAGATTACATAAATACAAGACAATCTTTTACCAATTTTTCTTTTTTTCTAAATTCTGATTCTGTTTTTTTTTCCTTACCACCAGCTTAATATTTTAGTATCACTTTTCATAGTTGATGCAATCAATATATCTAAGTATCTTAGTATAAAATTCCAAAAATGATTTATGATATTTATATATTATAATTTTTGAGTTTTAGCTATAATAAAAACTATATCATATTTAGTAAAGTAGATAATATAATATAGGAAAACATCCTAAATTAGATAACATAATATACTAAGTAGGCTAAGATAATTAAATATAATGTATTAAGCTTAACTTTCAGGATTCTTAGTAAAAATTGTAGGTATTGTCTTGTTAAGCTTTGCTATTGCCAAGCAACAGTTTGGGAATCTGCACATGTGCAAGAACAAACTCTAGCTAGTGTGAGCCATGATATGATTTGTATGATTAGAAACTCTTGTTTTTATATATATACATATATATATATATATATATATATATATAAAGTTAACTTTGCTCTCTTCTCCTTCAGCCACATCATCTGCCATGTCATCCGCCACATCATCATTTATCTTTTTTTTTTCTCTTAGCTATAATGTAAATATAATTAAAATTAAAATTAAGATTTTACAAAAAGAAACCTACAAGAAAATAACCAAGAAAAAAAAACAAAAACAAAGCTACTGTATAATTAAGCACGATTTGGGTTAACGAATCCATAAAAGCATGAGCTTGTGCTAACGTTTCCTTAGTGTCTTTGACGATATGATATTGCGAATTTTGCGGTCGATCAACTTGAAAACTACTTGAAAAGACAAACGCTCGGAGTTATACAAGACGTTGTTGCGCTGCCGTCAAATGATGCAGACTATCTATCTTTTGAGATGTTAGCTTCAGGAGGAGAGCAATGACTATTGAAGAAGAGAGTCGAGTCCAAGAGAGTAATTTTGACGACGAGGCGAAAAGTCACTGTCAAGGGCAGAGCCTAGAAAAGACCAACATCCACAGCTCGACAGAAAAATCAGAAGAAAGGAAGAGATGGTCCCAAGATTCCGAAACAAACAACCATAGACAACACTCTAAAGACTGAATCTATCCCAAGGAAACAAGTCTTTGCCATGTGAGCCATCTATAAAGGTGACTTACCCACATATGGAAAGTTACATTTGGGACAACCCCTTTGAACCAAACATAATATGTCTAATCCTTTTCTGCTTCCCGAAGTCTCAGTGCTTTCGAAGTCTTGGCTGAGGAAATCTCATGACACTATTCATCACATGCATACCGTGAGGACAAATCATCAACCAATATGAAAAAAATAGAATAACAAAAAATGACAACAATAAAGAACAATAAAACAAACTTTGCAAAACAAAAAAAAATTGAAAAAATCAAAATATAAATAAAATTATAACACAAAATAAATAAATAAAATTATCAACTTCCCGCGCGTAGCGCGGGTCAACAACTAGTAATATATAAAATTGGGATGTGTGGTCATGTATATACTTTGTGCAACTGATTAGTTTTTTTCCTAATCAAAAAACCAACTAAAACTTGTGACTTAGCGATTTGTGCTAGTGTCGTTGTTGCGTCACCATCCATATTTAAATAAAAATTATACTTATTTATGTGCATACAAATGAAAATTTGTTAAATCCCCATGACTAACATAAAATGTATAAAAAAGATCAAACAAACAATTAGTAATTAACTCTATACATATATATATATATGGTTACGGCGAAGTAGATAATTAAAATTTGTTAGTATGTTTCATACTAAATTTTCACTGAGTTGCCAATTTTAATGTTTGACAAACATTTACCTCTACTCCATTAATTGGATTTAATTTAGTGGTTTAGATAAGTGTTTACGTTGAAATAAAAATAAAGAGTTTACATATAAACAAATTAACATTTTATTTTGTTATCAAATTAACATTTTTATTTTGTTATTTGTTTGGATCCTCATCATATGATTCATCATCCACTATATATATAATTGTAACCTTTTTTAAGTATCCCTCACTCCAAAGTTGTTCGACTTCACTCTCTAATTCCCATTAATAAAACATGAAAGTTACATTTCATTAAAATACTATTTCTTTTTTTAGCAAAAAGAAAACTCATCATATGAAAAAATCCTTTTCGTATATATCCTAAAGTCATACCCTAATTCATGATATATGTACTTTGTTATATGCATGCATGTATATGTATGTATGTATGCATCAATCATCATGCATGCATGTTATTCCTAGATTGTTGAATACAATAAACTCATAAATCTGTTTAGCCATATATATATATGTATATTGTATATATTACCTATTAAAACCTTGACATCGGAGAACCAAATCGTGGCAAGAAGAGAGAAGAACACCTTTTGTTAATCTGATAAGTTTGGTACAAACGCTTACCAAGTTAACTAAATGTCAATAACCGGTATAAACCAAGTACCAAGTATTCTAATATTACCTTTTTGTTTTATATATTTATCAATCATATTGTCCAATTCAATTATTGCAATAATCATATACTTTTTTTTTTTTTTTCAATTTGGGTTCTACATTCATATACTATTCAATGATACACTAAAGTAAGTGGATCAAAGTCAGGAGAAATATAAAATATTAAAAAGAAAAAAAACAAAGGTTTATTAGAAGTTGGCCAGCGATGATTCTTTGTGTTTGGTCCGTATGATCCCAACCTTCAAGTTTGGTGGATTCTAGTTATCTAAATAGCTTGGAACTGAAATTGGGTGTGTGTGTGTGTTTATATAGAGATTAGGGTTTTTCTGTAGAAGATTAATTAAGAGAATGAGTTTGTGATGTTGAGTGTGTTTGTGGTTTATATATATTTCCAAAATCTAAATTCCACAATAAAACTTGAGCCAAGGTCGTATTAAACAACTCATCAAACTTGTGTTTCAATGTCTTATTTCGTTGATGTTACTAATTAGCTTCTTAGCATCTAGTAAAAGAAGTTATTTGCTTTACTCTACTAATTAAAACCATTTTAACTTTTTTTTTTTTTTTTTTTTAGATAAACCCTATCGGCTGATCCAGTCAGCCTCGGTAGAAACGCACCGAAGTGCTTCAGAGTGGACTTCTCCCCGAAGGGCCACCACACTGTCTATCCCGAGTTTGGAATGCTTTCCGACTAATGCCAGGGGGTAGTCAGGCCGCCTGCATTTCTGACTACCAGGTAAACCAACTGGGCCTTGGCCCAATTGACAGACTTCCCACACAACTATGATTTTTGTTTTCAGGGTGGATCGAACCTGTGTTAGTTCCTTCCAACCTTTCCCCAATTCTCTCTTACCACTGGACCACAGCTGTGTGGGCAAAACCTTTTTAACTTAACATCGTCTTTCTTACTTATTGTCTCTAAGACTAGCTTTGAAGGGATTACAAACAACTCCAAGGAAAACAAACTCTACGGCGATTAGGACAAAGATTTACCTATGCACGTCAATTTTCAGAAATTAAAAATAATTTTAGTTCTTTTATTTAGTTTTTTTTTTTGGTTTTTTAAGGTATCGTATATTCTAACAAATTGATTATTGAATTGACAATCTCGTATATGATATTGTACCAGTATATAATTAAATGTTTCAAATATGATATTGTACCTTTATAAAGTAAGTATTTTAAAAAACATTGACTAAGGGTGATCATCTTTTACTTTCTTTTGGACATTTTCAGAAATTAAAACAATTTTGAAAATGTATCTCTTATATATGTTAAAAATAATAAATTTCTTATTGGATTGGCAATCTAGTCAATCAATATTTGATATTCAACACAAATAGTCAAAACACTAATTAAGTTGCCATTTTCGTGCTTCAAACACATAATATATAAATAATTCCATCCTCCACAAGTTTATAGAACATTATCAAACAAGTACATAAGTTTTTAAAAATCATCAAACACGAAATTTCAAGTTAAGGATATGATGGCATCAAAGGCAACACTTCTCATTTTATTCGCTATTGTTCTTTCATGTAAGTCTTGATTTCTCTCTTTTTTTTTATATAAATCAAATCGCGCAATTAAATATAAACATAGTTTTGATTCTAATAAAATTGTAACTAATGAACAGACACTTTGTTGGTGAGCATTCCTCAAGCTGAAGCTCAGTTGATTGTTCCATGCAAGACATCAGAACAATGTAAATCGATTCGATGTTCAACTGGAAGCGCGCAATGTGTGAACAAACAATGCCAATGTCCAAGCCTCAGACAGATTTATTCGATGAAGGCTAACACTAATGTGTCGTGCAAGACGGCTTCTGATTGTGATGCTTCTCATTTATGCCCGGATGGTTTATATGCTTGCAATAAAGGAAAATGTATTTGTTTGCCTTAGTATATCATAATAGATATATCCATAAGTTAAATTCTTATAGAATTATTTATTAAACTCGTTTCTTAATAATTCTTGACTATGATCCATGCATATCTAAAAAAAAAAAAAACACTACAACACCTAGAAAAATGACATTATCTAGGATATATACTGTACTCATCATCAAGAAGGTGTGGGAGACGATGTTTTTGATTTTATAAAATTATCGACTGTGAGGTCCGACTTTTATGCACCAAGCTTCAAGTATATGCTGGTAGTTTGAAAGAATCATCATTTATTTTTCCTACGAAATATTGATCGCAATACCTAAGAGAGAATCATCATTTTTTGTTAGCACTTTTCTATTAATACCATATATATATATATATATTGTCAATAATTTGAAGCATATCATAGGAATTATATTTTCTTTAGGCAGTTTGCTTAGAGAAGGATTCTTCTATCGATCGATGGCCGAGGCCCTTTCGATAGGTTCTATCAAAGGATCTCTTATAATAGGATTTGTTGCTTGGTTTGTGTCATGTTTGTCGAGTCCTCTTGGTTAATTGGCTGTTCATTGGGAGACTCATCCTCTTCATCATTTGCTCTCTTTGCCTCTTTATATTAGTTGTTTGTTTCCAAGTTTCCGGGGATTTCTTGTTTTCCGCCGAAATAATGTGTATCTATTCTACTTTGACAATATTAATAAAAACTAGATGGCAAAGAATAATATTATCAATTAGTGAATTAGTTCAAACGATCCAATATAGAGAAATATTGTTTAAATATATCACATAGATATAATGTGATTTATGTGCGTACTTTTCGTGTCAAATTAGCCGGTTTTTATATTTGCATTACAAATGATCAAATAATAATAAAAAATTCTTTCCTTACACGTTTTTCTACTTATATAGATAATTAGATTTTTATAATTTTTCTTAAGATATTATTAGATTAAATTCTATAAAAATACAAAATGCAATGTAATTTTCAAATTTATTACCTTTTTATCCGAAAATAAAACCCAAGAAAATAAATGCAAAACTAGATTTTACCCCGTGGTACACCACGGGGCTAGTATTTTATGCGTATATGTTATAGTTTATATATACAAAGTTTGTTTACCATAGTCTTTTGATTGCCAATATGAATAATTTATCGTTTGTTGTTTATATATATCGAAGAATATGCTAGATGCGTACCTCTGTTAGAGCGAGGGAAATTTCCAGGTTTTTCTTTGTTAAACGAAAACATATTTTTACCTCGTGCTACACCACGGGTCCATTTTCTTTTAATTTTTATATGTAATATTCGTGATTTTGTGTAATAAAATGATAGTTTCTTTAGTGATTAATATAAATGTTATTGTGTTTTAATACAAAATTATAATATAGTTTTTTTCCAATTTTTTTTTGTTGATGAATTCATATGGGCTGGATTTTAGAAGAATTATGATTATCATATGTGTATTTTTAATATAGTGAACCTCAGATTCGCTAAAATAATATATAATTATTTATATTTGTGACGGTTACAAATATATGTAAGACGTAATACAACTCATTATTGAATATATTTCAGTTACTTTGAAATAAATATAAGTATTTGGATTTTTATATAAAGTTGGTATTGATGGTATTAACAAAATTATAAAATGATGATTTAACCAGAGCTCTATGATATTTCAAATTTATAATAATAATAATATGTCCCACCATATAACCCCATTCTATGATAGTTTAAACTTCTTATACACATAATTTTTTTTAGTGTTTAAGGTACATAATTGAGTTTATTTGATTTTTTATTTGAATGTTATAGTAGTACATTGATTAAATTATTAAAAACTCTTAAGTAAGGGTTATTATATTAACAGTATTTTTGTGCATTTTAGATTATAGATTTTACCTCGTGGTACACCACGGGTCTAGTATTTAATGTGTTTTTCTTATGTAGAACATTAACCATTATAGTTTAATTAGTTGTATACAAAGTTCGTTTAGCATATTCTTGGAGGTCCAATGGGAACAATGTATCTTTTGTAGTATATATATATATATATTTGGTTTTGTACTTATATATGATAATATATTCAGATAGTCGTCACATTAATTTTGTTAATACCAAACAGTAAAAATTTTCATCTTGTATCAAATTTTAATAGTTTCTGAAATGCATTTTCAAATAGGAATTATTAATAATTTGAATATATGTAAGAGTAATGTGAATGAATCAAACTTTATACTAAAATGCAAAATAGTGGTTTATTAGATTATTAAAAAAAAAAATTTAATGTTTGAGAATTCCACTTAGTGAAATCAAGAATACTTTAATTATTCTTATTGTAAATACAAAATGCAATGTAATTTTCAAATTTATTACCTTTTTATCCGAAAATAAAACCCAAGAAAATAAATGCAAAATGGAGGAGTGGGACTAAAAATAGATAAAAATATCTTACAGCATTTAAATCCAAATGCCAGATTCAGTGAATTAACAGAAACGTATGGTAAAGTGAACAAGGCAAACAAGTGCTCAAACAACACAACTTACGCCTTTTTGCTTAAGCCCACAATACCACTTTCTCAGAAACTTCAGAAAACAGTTGAGAGGAAGAAGAAGAAGATGAAACGACGAAGAACCCTTTTATAAAGTTTCAATCTTTGAATCCAAGATCTGCCCTTTCATCTCCGGCTCTCAAGCTTTCCCGATCTTGTGATGTATTGAGAGAGACAGAGACAGAGACAGAGACAGAGAGAGAGATGTTGTGCTTTAAAGGTTCGGTTAAGCGGAAGAAGCAATCCGGTTCTGTTCCGGTTTATCTGAATGTCTACGATCTAACACCTATGAATGCTTATGGTTATTGGCTTGGACTTGGTGTCTTTCACTCTGGTGTTGAAGGTTAGTTGAATTCTCAATTTTGTTTTTCTGGGTTTGGCTTCTTTTGTTCGAATCTACTTGTTTGGTTGTTAAAGGAAGTGACTTTTTTGGTTTCCTGAAACTTAGATTTGCTTAGAATTGACTTTGGTCCTTGTGAGAATTGACTAAGAGTATTACCAAAAATCTCAAGTTTTGATTTTGATGATTAAAGAACAAGACTTTATTGTTCATTGGTTCTCTGTTTTTGTGTTTTAGATTGTCTTGTGTAAGTTGGTTAATGAAGAAACTGGTTCTTGTTGTTGTATTGCTTAGATGGTCAATATAGAGTGACTAAAGCTTGTAATGGATTGTGTGTTATGTAATGTTTGTAGTTCATGGAGTTGAGTATGCATTTGGAGCACATGAATCTTCAAGCACAGGTATATTTGAAGTGGAGCCGAAGAAATGTCCCGGTTTCACGTTTAGGAAATCGATTCTTGTTGGGAAAACAGACTTGGTTGCGAAAGAAGTCCGAGTTTATATGGAGAAACTAGCTGAAGAGTATCAAGGGAACAAGTACCATCTCATTACAAGGAACTGCAACCATTTCTGCAATGAAGTTTGTATTAAACTTACTCAGAAATCGATTCCTAGATGGGTGAATCGACTTGCTCGCTTAGGTAAACCAATCAAACTGAGTAATTGTTATGTGTAAGAAAGTTCATCAAGTAATGCAAAAGGTTATGTTTTTTGTGTAGGGGTTCTCTGCAATTGCGTGTTACCACCGCGTTTAAATGAGGCGAAAGTGAGGCGGATAGGAAAAGGGGAGCTTTCGGAAAGCGAGAAGAAGAAACTAAGAAACCGATCAAGATCAGGTCCATTACTCTCTTCTTCGTCCTCTTCTTCGACACCTGATAATCATCGTTCACACATTCGAGCAAAATCAGCGGGTAGTAATCAACCTTCTTCTTCTTCTACTACTTCATCAAGTTCTAAGAAAAACCAAAGACCTAGAGCTCAAGACAAGAAGTCGCCAAGCGTAAGCGTCAAGACTTGATTCTTATCATATCATTATTTTGAAACATTTGATTATTGTTTATGAAAAAAAGGAGGAGACAAAGTATAAAGACAAAAGACGAAACAGAGGAACATGACAAGCAAAGTATCAATCATACATGAGCATGCTCGTGCTTTTGTTCTTGAAGACCTTTAAAAAACCTTTTTGGGTGTGTGTAGATCATTTTTCTTGGTACAATTTGCTTATAGGACAGAGAGAGAGGTTATGAGTATGTACAAAAAGAACATGATTCATATATTTTTCTACTGTTTATCTCTCATTTTTTGTTTCTTTATTCCAAAGTCTTCTACACATTGATCCTCTTTGTGGTTATCTCTTTTGTTTTTGATAACAGAAATGATAATGAAATGGTAATGATGCCTGATTATATAATTACTTGTTGTATCTTGTATTTAGATGTTGCTTATAAGTTTCTGATTAGGTGTTTGATGAGTGATTTGTCATTTGTTGATGATGCTTTAATGGTGGTTGTTGTAGTCCATTTCTTTGGTTTTCAGATTTGAATTAAGTAAACAAGAAACCATTATTATTTTCCTACATATGGTAGATAAATTCATGGGAACATTGGCTTAAGTTTGAGAAAATTACTTGTTTTGTTTTTGTCGGTGAGATCTCATGTTACATACATGAAAAGAAAAATTGGGCCATATGAAATTGGGACATACAAATTCATGGTTTTGATCCTGAATTTTAAACTAAGGTTTCGAGAAGGCGTACAATGATGATATCCCAAATATAGTTGGAAAACATTTTCTTTGTCTCTATCTATATATATAAAGTTAGTTTTTTCTCTCTTGTCCTTTCGTCACATCATCAACCACATAATTATTTTTTTTATACTAAATATGTAAATATCATTAAAGTTGGGAGTTAAAGTTTTACAAAAAGAAAACCTACAAGAGAGTAACCATAAAGCAAGATTCATGTTAACAAATCCTTAAAAGCATGAGTTTGCGTCAAAGCTTCCTTAGTCTTCTTGACGATATGATATTGCAACATTCGCGGTCGATCAACTTGAGGAGACAAACGCTCCGAGTTATGCAAGACGTTGTTGCGCTGCCGCCAAATGCTGTAGACTATCCTTTGAGATGCTAGCTTGCGGAGGACAGCAAGGGCTTTCAGAGAAGAGAGTCGAGTCCAAGAGAGCAGCTCCTACTATGAGGTGAAAAGTCATTGTTGCGGGGAGAGCCTAGAAAAGACCAACATCCAAGTTGGGAAAAAAAATATTCAAAAGTTAGGAAGAGATGGTCCCAAAATTCCAAAACAACCGAGCATAGACAACATTCTAAAGACTGAATCTGTCCCAAGAAAACAAGCCTTTTCTGCGGGAGCCAATCTATCAAGGTGACTTACCCACATATAGAAAATGTGCTTTGGGACAATCACTTTGAACCAAACATAATCTCCCCAATCCTTTCTGCTTTCCAAGGTCTTAGTGCTTTCCAAGTCCTGGTTGAGGAAAATTCAACACCTTTCATCACCACACCATGAGTACGAATCATCAATTTATATGGAAAATAGAGTAACAAAAAACGACAACAATAAAAAACAACAATATAAATCTCCCGTGCGCAGCACGGATCGACAACTAGTCAAAAATATAATGAGAAAGTTGCAAGAAACATATGAGGCAATATTTATTTTTGTTTCTTACAAAAGAAACAGAAAAGTTGGAACAACTTGTTTTTGGAGGAGAACATGAGTTCAAGGTAATGAATGGTAGGTTACATTTTATTACTTAGAATATTCATCACATTTGTGCATTTTCAAAAGTGATTTTGTTATATAACACAAACATAATATAAGTTTTTTAAAAAAACCATTTTTAGTTCGGTTATTTTGCATATTTATCGATAAACTATTCCGATATTACGCTATTTCCTTAACACATCAATCAAGTCGAATGTCAATCATCTTAGGCGAAAAGACCTTAATCCCCAATAATTGGTCTTTCAAACAAGCTAAGTAAGGTACATTGGGTGGAGTCATAACAAGACATGTAAACAATTTCGTTTGGTCATTTGACATTTGTATCTTAACAATTCATACAAATGTTTCTTGTTAATGATGCATTTAAATGCCAAATGACCAGAGGAACAAGACCAGAAATAATTCACTAAGATGATACATTTGAATGAAAATGTTATTATCTATGAAAAGAAATGAATCATTCTTTCAAGGTTTGATCAACGAGTAAACAAGACAAATACTTGTCTCATCCCAAAATATTTTTGTCCTATAAACCATTTGTATACAAACCAATACCAAAGATTAAAAGAAATCTCTAATTCTTACACACTTTCGTATATCCATATATTTTTTTTTTAAATGATAGCTCTATATTTATACAAAAAAAAAAAAAAATTGATTCGAGTCTCCATTTTTACTTTCTCCAAGCGTAAATAACCAAAGAGAACCAACTCTTATACCCAAAGCTCCTCTCATCTTCCTCTCTACAACTAGACCACTCCATCACATTAGGCATCCTAGTAAAAGAAGACCAATGACCATACGAAGTCGCCCAAAACGACGGCGTTTTAGAGTTCTCCTTCCTCAAAACCACGTTGTCTCTTACTCTCTTGTTCATCATCAACGCATCGTTTCCTTCAACCTCTTGGTTCTCAAACCGTAGTAAGAACACCGCGGGTACCTTATCCGGTTTAACCTTATCCTTGTCACCAAACAGCCAGTTATATACATCCCATGATATTTGTATCGTCACACCATCGATCACAATCTTTGTGTTTCCTCTAAACTTCCATTGAAGCTTATCAATCTTTAAAACACTCTTATCGTCTAAGCTAAACCGGAGACTAGCTTCGTCGTTAACAACCTTAACGTCTATGCTAATCTCTCTTAGTGTTCCTTGAATCTTGATTTTTGTTGAGTAAACTCTGTTTCCAAACAGATTCTCTCTCTTGGACACCAAGATTTGTCTCCTAGGTCTCTCTTTGAAGTCTCCTTCGCCGACGAGAAGACCCATTTGGCCCGATACAAAGACAGCAACGTAAAACCCCGATTCCGGGTCAGGTCCTGATCCAAATCTTGCATGTGTCAAGTCCCATACAACTCGGATATCGGGTTTTCTAGATATCTTCTTGGATCCATGTTTTCTCCAAAAGGTCAAGGGCTTGACTTCGAGCCGGAAAGTGAAGGGAACGGAGTTGCGGTAGCAATCAGGAGAGTGAAGATAGCAGTTTACGGAGTGGCATGAGTAGAAATGAATGTGGAGAGAGCGACGGAGGAAGGCTTGAGACCAGGTAAGGAAGAAAACACCAACGTTAGTGTGGTAATGGCAAGTGGTGGTAGGATTTGGAAGGTCACCGGATAAATATGACGGCGAGGGAGCAGACGACGGTAGATCCTCGTTTATCGCGGTGGCGGAAGGATGAAAACAAGCGGATAAAGGAGAGGAGCCACCACGACCAAAAGAAGATATTTTCATTTTTTTTAGGTATCTTCAAAATTCTGAACTACTTGGTTGATCTATTATTATACACGCACATGCATTTTTTAAAAAACACTTATGGGGTATGTCATATATGACTAATTTGATAATGTATATCTAATACTTGAGTTGGCTTATGTGTCTGAAAATGAGTTGTCATGTTGTAAGAATTCAAAAAGAGTGGGTCAAGTCGACAAATTGAAAGCAACTTTGTAGATAAATTTTGTAGACCAAAACATTACATATTCATTGATATCTTGTGCCGGCTTTCACATTATGGTTTATGTATATGTTAGCTTCAAGTTCAATTCTTTGCAAGTCACTTGACTTTTTTGTCTCTTTCCTTAACTTTGTGGAAGTTATATTAATTTTTTGTTTCTTTACGTTTTAGTGACAGTGAAACCTACTATTTTTAACGAAAATGGTAAAAGGCAAATAGAATATTTTGTTAAGTTACCAAGAGCCAATAGCTCAATTCGTATAGATATTTTACAAAAGTTTATAAACCGCCGGATTGAATGATATTTGGGACGAAAACTATATACTCTGCTTTAATTTTTAGCACGAGAAAATGTATTAGTTTCGATCCAACTTTTTAGTTATTCAAGAAAAACAATAGTTTGTTAAACTAAACTTGGTTATGGTATGCCTTAGAATCAAAGGATGAAAAACATAAACAAGAAACTGAATCCTGAATAATGCCATGACAACATTGAAGATCAATATGGTTCTAGTAAAATTAACAAGCTACAACAAAACTCTAACAAAACTATAGTTGGTTCACTGGTTTTGGTTCAATTAGATTCAGTATTAGTTCGATCAGGTTGGTTTTGGTGAAAGATCAAATAACTAACATAATTTCAATCGTACCTAGTAGAGTCATGTTCTGGTAACTTTTGTTGGATTGATATGAAGTTATATGAACCCACATCAAATATGTTAATCTTATTACTTTCTTGTTGTGCATGCTTGATTTCGTTATTTTACTACTCTTGATTGGTTTGGTATGTATGGATGACAAAAGTATATATTAATGGTTCCTTTTTGGGTTCCAGCTAGCTAACAAAAGAAAAGTTTTGAAAAGGTCCAACAATCACAAATTAAATATGGAAATGTAACACCAATTCATTGCGAGATTGGTGCATTATTATTATAGCTGTTTTTTGTTTTATTGCAGGGCAGTCCAAAAAAATGTGATTGATTCAAAAGCTTTCATTCTCCAATCATTCAGAGAACAATTACAAAAGTTAATATTCTCCAAACTGTTTATTGGTTATTAATACTTAAAAGAAGAACAAATAATTAAAAAAATATTTTGCTTTTTTACTAAAATAAAAGTTCTTTGAATAGCTTAACTGTAATGAAAGTTTTTTAAATAAAATACGTAGTAGTTTAAAATACCATTATTTACTTGTTACTATAGTGAGGAAATGTATGCTATATGCCTATATCCACCATAACAATGAACTACTTATAATATAACGACTTCTTCACCTTAATATATTTATTGTTATAATGTGGATGATTTGGAAGATACTATTGCATATTCATATTATGGTTTATATAAGTAGGCTTATTAACACTTGTATATTTACATATTATTTGAACTTGGTTAATTTAATTGACTACTTTTTTCTTATAGATGGAAAAAATTTATGTGAAATCTTTTCATCGATGGTCATGAAGATAACAATTTCAAAATTTTACACATTTTTTAAAAACCTATGAAGAATATTTTTAATCTATAAATACACTCATTTTACTCACTAATAAAACATGTTTCCCCTCAAATTGTTTTCTAACAAATTTTGGTTAAGTTTACATTTTGGAAAGTGATCAGATTGTTTTCAGTCCTTAGCTAGTTGCAATCATTTCATGTATCGATAGTCTCTTCATTGAAAAATTTAATCACAAACAATATACTATAAACATTGTTTTTTCTATGTAATTATATTCATTATAATATATTGTACTTTGAATATAAAAAAGTTTAAATAAAATTAAATAATCCAAATAATATTAATTTTACGGTTTTTTCGTAAAAGACTCATGGAAAATATTACGAAACTTCAGTTTATGTTCCTCAACATCACTTCGGCTAATTATTTTCTTTGGACCACCAACATTGAATCATATTTAAAATTTTCTGGTTTTGTGGAAACCATAAAAGAGACTATATTTCGATTATTCAAGAAAATAAATAAATTTGACGATCTTCCCAAGAAGACATATCGAAGAAAGTAGTAAATGTGATTATGCAAATGTAAAAGATAAATTAGAGATATAAATTTCCAGAAAGAGTGAACTTTAACAAAGTGATAGATTATAATCATGGTATCTTGGAAATTGTAACTAAACTTAAATGGTATCATAATATCATATCAATGAATCTCATATGCTTGAGAAATGTACACCATGTTCCATGAAAACCACATTGTTCAACAAGTACAATACTATATATGTTTTTACAATTACACGAAATATTTTGATTTGATAGTGCATGACACTTCTAACGACGAAAAAGATTAATGAAATCGCTCATGCATATAATTGACACATTTGTACTGAAAGTGAAGTGCTAGTCTTAACAATGTCTTTATACAAGTATAATATATTTCAGGTATTCTAAAAATAAAGATGTATCTTAAAATGAACTAACATATAATTGTTGTATGTTTTTCTTATAACGATTATTTTATGTTTTTGATATTAATAAAATTTTCTTATATTTGTTATTTTGTATGTTAATTACATAAATGAATCAACATACAAACAAAACAATAACAAAAAAATGTCAAAGCAATTTGTATACTCGATAGTGATAGTGTAGTATAAAAAATATAATATTCTAAAATATATATATTGTTTCTCAGTAAAAGCTGATATTATGTCCATACAATAATAATTGTTACAATATGTTCCTTTGGAAAAATTATCATTAATATGTCCAAGACAACATCTATTGACAAATACATCCACTATATGGAACATTAAACTCTTTTATGATATTGATATATTCAACTAGTAAATGGTCACACTTTTTTTTTGTCTATTGTCATCTCCAAATATGATATTTGTTAGAATTCCCAAATTATGAATTATCCACCTATTCTTTTCTGAAATATACCTTTCGAGTATATCTAAATTATAAATTATATGCAATGTTTTAATTTGGGAAATTATAAAGACAGCACTAATTTAAGTTTTTCTTCCTAAAAAAAATGTTTTTCTTCCAAATTTAGCACATGCTCTTTTATTTTTTAAATTAGCACCATATATCAAAATGAAACTTTCAAAATTAAATCATAAACTCTATAGTGATAAAATCATTATTTTGTTAAACACCTCACATATCATCGATCCCTTATTTGTTTCCAAGTCATCTATCCTTTACTCAAAACAACAACTATGTCAGTTGCTCAAATCTTTGAGAGGATTGACAAGAACAGGGATGGAAAAATTTCGTGGAACGAATTTGCGGAAGAAATTCGCGTCTTTTCTCGTTCAATAACATCAGAAGAACTTGATAAGATGTTTAGAGTGCTTGACGTGGATGGTGATGTTCAAATCGATGTTGTGGAATTTGCTTCTTGTTTGGTGATAGATGGTGGAGGAGAACAAAATGACGAAGAGACTGTCTTGAAAGGAGCTTTTGATTTGTATGATATGGATGGTGATGGGAAAATATCGGCTAGTGAGATTCATGTTATGTTGAAACGTCTAGGAGAAAAGCATACAATGGAAGAGTGTGTTGTGATGGTTCAAGCTGTTGATGCAGATGAAGATGGTTTTGTGAACTTTGAAAAGATTAAAACTATGATGAGTTCCAACCACAAGAAATCACTATGATCATGTTACGTTTAATTGATTTTTGGTTTGTTATGTTTTCTTGTGAATTTTCTTTGATGTGTTGATCTCTCTTTCAAAGAGTTTGACCGTGTAATATCCTTTGTTCCGATTTGGTTTTATCTCTTTTCACAACCGCCGTAACTCGTAAGCTTTCGTCAACTATCGCCGTTCTCCGATCCTCCTTCACCATTTAAACTCTGATGCGACAATTAATCTCTTCCACTCTGCTGATTTCTATTCCTTTCAAAGAAACACCGAAAAGTTACCGAATTTGACATGAAAAACCACTTCAAATTTCTTTAAGAATCACCACCTCCGGGGAAGCTCCATCACCGACTACACGCAAATTCCCAATGTAGTCTTTCGTTGCTCCTAAGTCATGAGAAAAAGATAGTGACGAAGATATTACGCCTCGATTAATTGGAGAATCAGAAAGAAATAAGATTTACAAAATGATTAATCGACGGGATTAAAAAAACAAATAGATGGAGATTGAAAGAACTCGCAAAAAGCAAAGAAGAAATCCGGAACAAAAGATCCGATTTTTGATCAGAAAGACCAAAAAATTTAATATATTACAAACGAAATATGGTAGACCGAAAATTGCTCTTTTCTCTCTTTCAAAGATGAAAAATGTGTTAAGAGAGAGAAATTATGTTGCTTATAAGTTATTCCATAAAACATACTTTGGTGTTATTTCAGAATATTTCTCTCTAAATGTTTAATTAATTAGCGTTTCTAAGTAAAAAAAAAAAGAAGTAAAAAACATTTTTTAACCAATTTTTTAATTTGATCGAACTGATCTAACCAAATCATCCAGTGACAGATACTCAAATCGGTCCAATTTCAAAACATCAATTATCCTAGATTTCATTCTACTAATGGACCGAAACCTATATTAAAATGCTTAAACCAATGGGCCTTCGTGGCCCAATTAAAAAAACTCTCTAACCCTAAAATCGCGTCCTCATATAAAAGCTCACCGCCACCACAGTATACAAAAGCTTCTTCTCCAGATTTAGGGTTTCTCTTCGTTTCGGCTCTGTTCCAGAAGCTAGATCGCAAAGCTTCAAGATGGTAAGTCCTCTCTCCTCTGCTTCAATCTCCATTGTCTTCTAATTCTCAATTACTATGTAAAATGTAAATAAAGTTCGAAACTTTGAATAATTTCTTATGATATCCTCTCTACTCTGCTTTGATCTTAATCTCAATCGTCTTCTGATTCTCTGTTTAGTATGTAAATGTTACGAAAGTTTGAAAGTTTGAATCATTTCTGATGATATTACTCATTATTTTGTGAAACAGCCGTCGCACAAGTCGTTCATGATCAAGAAGAAGCTCGGGAAGAAGATGAGGCAAAACAGGCCTATCCCTCACTGGATTCGTCTTCGTACCGACAACACTATCAGGTTTGGGAAATGAATCTGTAGCTTTTATGTGTTTGGTTTGATTGGTTAGGGTAGTAATAGTGAAATCTGATGTGGGTTTTGGTTTGGTTTTTGCAGGTACAATGCTAAGCGTAGGCATTGGCGCAGAACCAAGCTTGGATTCTAAGAGGTTACTGTTACTTATTGTGAAAGCTTTGTTCTTTCTAAAAAGACTTGTTTTTGGTTCTGTTGGATTTTTAGTGTTTCCTCAGTTTTGATTACATTGTTGACATTTTGTGTAAGACGATTCTTGAATCAGTTATGTTTCCAAACTTGCCATCGAAGAGTTCTTATTGTAGTAACTTTGTGGTTTTCACTAGTTTAAATGGCCTTTTGGTTCATGTTTATGGGTTCATTGCTCTCAATTCAGTAGAACCAACTGTTTTATCTTTATATGATATCTACTTTGATCTGTTTTGTTAGGTTCTTAAAATGTGTAGTTAGGGTAGCTTTAGGTTTACTGAAGTGTAAGTTTCCAAATGACTTCTCGTGATCTTGTTTAGTGGGTTCATTGCTCTCAATTCAGTAGAACCAACTGTGTTGTATCTTTATATGATATCTACTTTGATATCTTCCTCTTTTGATAGGTTCTTAAGATGTGTAGTTAGGGTATCTTGACAAATACTGATGTTTAAGATTTGTAAAGGACTTCTGTTTATCTTGTTTTGTGGGTTTGTCTTCTCAATCAGTAGAACCAATTGTATGAAATTTACTTCGATATCTTTTTGTTTTGTTAGGTACTTAAGTTAAGGGTTTGCAAGACTTGTGCATTTTGGATTGAGTCTTACAATTTTAAGTACTTGAACAATTTGAATAACATCGGTATATAGATCTTAAAATCACTTGGATGCTTTTGTTACTTCAAAATTATCCAAATCTTCTTAACAAAGAATTCTATATGTAGTTAAGTTATGTGTTTGTTCGACGTTTACTCTTTTGTGTAATGAAGTATGGTAATCAAATTGAGTAATTGACAAGATGGGTTTTGTTGAAAATGGTTAGTCTTAAGAAACATACAAAACACAATGCCTTTCTACACAAAACACAATTCAGCATCAACGCCTCAACTTTTGGGTACTTTAATACAAGTGTACCCATTTCTTGTTTTTGTCGGCTACGTGTGTTTTAACTCATGTTTATATATGTTTCCACCGTCGTTATTGACTGTTGGCATTACTATTCTGTTGCTTACAAACATTCTTTTAAGGATTAGTAAAAGGATGACGGTATTGTAGTTTCCACCGTCGTAAGTGTTTGGTTGCTTACACAATAGTTGAAAATAAAAACATCAACCACCAAATGTACAACACAACGTTGAATAAACGTTTCTTAAAATTCATAAACAAGAGTTGAACACAAGACATTACCACTCATGGTTCATGGTTGTATAACGAGGAACAAGTCAATATTCTAAAAAGCATCATTATAAGTTGACAAAATCATTCAAAACAATCCACTCTATGTGTTCTCTATATATATTACACACTTAGATGTGTAAGCAACATAGCTAGTTCTTTCTTCTTTCGATTTCTTACTAATCCTTCTTACCCAAAGTTCAAAGTTAATCCTTATTCGACTAAAGAATGTGGAGATTTATGTTGGTGATGTGTCTTCTAGCTTTGATCGGAAGGGGAAGCTCGGGGAGACTACCGATATGGGAGAAGGATTTAGGACGATTGTACGGTTTACAGAACAAGCTTCAGCGAGGTCCGGTTCCTCCATCAGAACCTTCTCTATGCCACAACAAACTTAACCATCTTTCTCATCCAGAGACTTACTCTTCCCAAACTTACGTTCTTTGCCCCTGATCATGCTTATTCCAACTTATTCATGATTTATTCAATGATCAAATTTCATTTGTTATTTTCTTTATCTCTGCTCAAACATATTCCGTATATCGGTAGGTGTATCCTTGACATTTTGATCCGACTAATCTAAAGGCATATGATATGTTACATGTCATATTTTGTTTTTCAATTTCAACAAGCCATTTTACTGGTTTTGAATCGATATGATGATACCGATTTCAAGTCAATTCGAGTTTAAATCCGATCGATCAAACTTTTATCATGCTAGATTTGTTCCAACATTTTTCACAACAACAAAATAAGACGTGTGAATGTGTGATATACAAACAATTTACAAACTAAAAAGGTATATAACTATAGTACTCAACAACCCTGGAAAACTTCTAAACTTACATTTCTTACCCTATACAAAAATAATATAAAATCGTAAATTTATTTGGATTTGTTGGCAGTGTTTCAAGTTATCGTGTTGACCGGAGAGTCCCTCCTAGCTCTACTGGAACCAGTGGAACAAGTGAATGAAGAACATCGGTTATCAAAGGCCGGTAACTCGGTTCTGGCTGCACGCATAGCACCGCCATTGCTGCTACCTGCGAAAGTAATCAACGGCCTTGATTCAACAATATGCAACCATCAAATCAACTCTAATGCAGCAGTAACATTCAAGTTCAGTCACAAACAAGATGGACTTTAAACCGGTTCTATATGTCTTGAAACCAAACCTGATATAAGTGTTTAAGATCCATTGTATCTTTTATAACCGAATCCACAATGTTTGGAAGCTTGGATCTATCAGTAAGTTGTGGCATTGCCTGCACCATCAACACACTATATATATCACAACCCGATTCGTTCAGTAGAACGTTTGTTAAACAGTATCAAAAACATACCCAAGTCACAAGAGACTGGCATTGAGCTGGAGTCAATTTCTCAACCGGTCGTCTACCTAACAAGAGTTCAAGTAGAACCACCCCAAATGCATAAACATCACTCTTATCCGTCAGCTTTCCTGCATACATACCCGAAAACAAACAGTTACATTACTCGCAAAACGATTATTTAAGCTGAAAATGTAATCTTTGAGAGAGTGAGACTAGTATATATTCACATTATGAATTATTATATGATACACAACCTAAGATATGAGAACTAGTCAGTGGAAACATAGTTACCGTCTAGGAGATATTCCGGGGCAACATAACCAAGTGTCCCTGAGAGTTTAATGTTGTTCTTGCCATGCTCATCAAGCGATACAGCTAGACCAAAATCTGAAATCTGCATTGTTGTAATCAAACAGTAAACCAAACAATGAGGCGATCAAACAAGAATCAAGATTTAATCAAGAACATTTCAAGAAAAAAGACGCGGTATTAACCTTGGCGTTGAAGGAAGAATCAAGAAGAATATTTGAAGATTTCAAATCCCTGTGAATAACTGGTGGACGACAATGCTCATGGAGATACTCTAGTCCTCTGCCATCAACAAACAGAGAAAAAATCGGTTTACAGAATTGAAACCGAGATTAACCGGTCAATGAGTTGAAAAGTGTCGGCTAATTATTTTATATACCTAGCTGTATCAAGAGCAATCTTCATACGCATGTGCCATGTTAGAGCTGATCCATGAGAAGGCCCTAACACATTAATTATAAAGATAAAACCAATCAATCACATAATTATTTAAATTCATATACAGTACTCATGTTTTTATATTATAGTTTACAATATAACTCATCGGGTTAAACAAGATCATATAAAAACATGTTTTTACCATGTAACTGTTCATCTAAGGATCCTTTCTCCATGAGCTCATAAACGATGAAACTCGAGTTGATTTCACTTGCAGAGCCTAACAATGAGATAACATTCGGGTGCTGGATCTTGCTTAACAAGTCAACTTCGTTCTGAAATATTCAAGAATCAGAGATATTGAATATAAAGATCCAAGAATCAGAACTTGAAACTTGGTTTGTTTTATTTGTTACCTGAAATTCTCGTTTGGCTTCTTGGCTAACGTTTTCGATCTTCTTGATCGCTGCTTTCACGTTGTTGTCCAAACAAGCCTTGTAAACACATCCAAATCCGCCTTTTCCGATTACATTACTATCTTTAAAACCGCCTGTTGCTTTCTCAAGGGTCTTGATATCGAAAAACTGCACATAACCCTTGTTGATAGATGTTCTCCTCTGAGTTTTAATCGAGCTAAGCCGTCTCATAAACGAGGAAAATGAATTCCCACTCTCAGAATCTTCATTTAAAACATTCCACAAAGATCAATAAATCTCAAACAAGATTGAAATTAACAAAACTCAAAGAACAATAAAGAATCTTGAAATCATTAGTATACACTCTAAAGTTATTGCACAATTATTCATTACCTAAATTATTTATAGATTTGAGAGATTGGTTCTTGCGATAAAACCAGAAGCCTAAACAGAACAAGATTATAAGGACAAGAGAAGAGAAACTGATAATGAGACCAATCAGAAGTTTCTTATGAGCATCCAACATGTCTTCTTCACCACTTCCCATTTGAATTCCTAAAACACAGAAAACAATTAAAATCTTCACTTGTTAAATTTCTCAAGTATGGTTCTTGAAAATTCCAAAATCAAACCCATGTTTCTAAATTCAAGAATGAATTTAGATAAGAATTATATTTTCCAATTTTTAAAAAAATAAACAAAAAACAAGAAACAAAAAGACAAGAAGTGAGTACGCTCATAAATAGCATTAAATTTATCTAATTTTTATAAAAATATTTTTTTTTTTCGAAACTCGAGGTTTCATTGATCAAATCAAGAAAATCAAGAAACTAAAAAAATGAGAAGAAGTCAACGAACCAGGAGAGGAAGTAGCCATGGAAGAGTAAAGAGGAGCTAGAGAAGGGTTTGAAGCAGAAGAAGAAGAAGCAGAAACAGTAATGAAGATGTTGTTCTTCATAAGGGTTTGAAGAAGAGCAAGAAGAAGAAGAAGCTCTCTCATTATTATTGCTGAGAAAAGAAAAGTTTGTAATGTGTTTCACTCTTTTATTTATTATTTGGGGTTTAAGAGAGATTCTTGAGAAAGCGAAGAGTGAACGAACTATCACTTTCTTCTCTCGCTGTCTTCTTGAAAATCTCTTTTATGGCAAATAAAGGAGGGAAAGAGAAATGTGTCTTTTTGAAAGAAAATAAAAGAAGAGTTGAATTATTTTTTTCTATCTATTATTAATATGTAAGAAAGAAATGAAAGTGATGAACTAAGGAGGAAATTTTTTGGGATTAGATTAGACCACACATATATTTTTTCTTTGCTATTGAAAATGTTGAAAACTCGATTGTTAATTAAATTATTTTGAGAAATTAGAGGTTAAGCTTATAGTACTATGGTTTTGTTTCTATTCATAGTAATTCAGAAAGTGACCATCTATTTGACTTACATTTCCAAAAAAACATAACATTACTATATTTTGTTTAGTGAAATAACATAATAAACCAAATTGCAATGATCAAGTGGTTGAAGGGTTCATTCTGAGTCACAGTTGATTTTGAGCTTTCCCATTGTGACAAATTATCTTTGGCCACCCATAGATATTTTTAATAGCAAGAAAACCTAGAAATATCTAATACTCCCTCTGGTTTTTTTTTTTTTTTTTGTCGACACTCCCTCCGGTTTTTATTGGTTGTCGTTCCAGAAATTTTTTTTCTTTCCATAATAGTTGTTATTTTAGTTTTTCAATGTAGATGTTTGGCGAAAATTCCACTTTTATCCAATTGTTTAATGTATTAACCAAATAAAAAATTTATAAATATATATTAAAGAAGGTTATGATAGAAAATTTAAAATTTTTCTTAATATGTATGCAAAAACCTGAAGCGACAACTAATAAAAAACAGAGGGAATAGTAATTAATCTAGATTTCGACATGAGGTTCTAAAGCAAAAAGGTGCATGTGATCCAAATAAGGATGTATATATATGATTCAAAAAGAGTGTTTGGTACATATGATTAAAATCTTAATGGTAAACAATGGAGATTATATATGCTTTAGAGAACCCTCTAACATGTCGTAAATTCCTTTTTCATTCTTGCATGGTCTAGACCTTTGTTATTGTTTTCGGTTTATAGAGTTTAAAAACATTGATATACTGAACCACCACCAAAAGTTATAAGCTTGTAGATCCTAACATTTGCATTCTCTTTTGCAATAATTTATTACATAGCCAAAAATGACATGTAAGCTATTAGATATATATATATATATACACACAACATAGGAAAGCTATAAATTCAAGGTTCTTTTGAGATTAGTGGAGACACAAAGAAGAGTGCTTAAGTTGAGAACCTCTTTCTTTCAGGGGTTCTGATTACTCGAGTATTTAACTCGATAATTTAACCGAAGTAAAGTATATGTGGAATCGATCACAAGGAGCAAAATTATACTAAAGACTTGCGAGACTCGTTGTTAGCTAAAGCGGAAAAATTGTTTGTTTGGTTTTTCAGAACTGTAAATATAAATGCAAATAAACAGAGATTTGAACTTATGAATTAAAGAATTGGGCAGCATGGTAATCTCAGAGAATCAACGAATAACGAATGAAAGCAATAAGGAATTCAAACATGAATAACCATTCTTAAACATGAACACAAATTCAGATTAATTCTCTCTCAAGACATTAATCACTAAATTCAAGTATTCAATTACTAAACTCTCATTTGTAATTTCCTAGTTAAATTTGCATTATCAAACAGGTTCATTTGGTTCACGAGGCATTCTAACATCAACTCTCGCATGGTATAAATACAATGCTCAATTTACATTCATTCAGACATTTTATCGAACATCTCTGAAACAAATAAAAGCCTAAGTTCTAAAACAAGGTGATCAATCATATTCTAGCATTGAGAACATATAAATTGAAGAATCCAAAGATTAAGAATTCCCTAAGACATCTAATCCATCAAATCACTGAATCTCCTACTTAGAACCCTAAAACCCAATTAAGAGACTACCTAGACATAGCAATTGAAACAAAGAAATAGACATAGAAGAAAACATGATTCAATAGATTAAATGAGAATAAGGCTTAGAAATCTTCTCCAAGTGTCAAAAGGATGGATTCTTCTCCCCAAAATTGTTCAGAAAGTAAAGAACAATGTTTAGAACTGAAAAATATGGAGGATTGCTATTAAAAAGTATAGGGTATAAAAACAATAGGAGACGAGTTGGATCGTTTCTTGAATGTTTCAGGTCAAATTTGGGCCTAAAACTGCGTTTGGAAGTGGATTGATCTATCCAGGTGGTGGACTGACCGTCTGCCACGTTCTGGAATGTTTGTCTTGTCCAAAGGAAGGTGGACCGATCGGTCTGACCCTCTCTGCTTCCAATCTCTGCATATGCTTCAGTTACTCGCCAGAATGACTTGTCTTTACGAAATCGGGTATAACTCTTGAATTCACCGTTAGATTTTCTTGAAATTACTTGAAGATGAAAGCTAACATCTGTCTCAATTTTGTGTCAAAATTTGAGAAAGATCTAACGGTAGAAAGTCGTTCATATTATCCTAAACATCTGACACTTATACATGAATCAACATCTCCAAATGTGTGATAAAATTGCTCGTTTTATTCTAAAGCAACCTAAAACCTATAAAGACTCTATTATGGGCTAAAAGATCTAAAAACACATTTTGACTCAGTTATAAAATAAAAGAGAAAAAAATATTTAAAACCGATAAAAACACAATATATATCAAATTAGATCTTGTAACTTACTTGTTTTATTGGATTTCGAGCTGAGACTCGGCCAAGATGTAGCATTTATTGATATGAACTATAGGTAAACAGATCTCTTGTGTGTTCTCTTAATTATTATCTTCCTTTCTCTGTTTATTCATCTACGAATATGATGCTTGTTCTATTCTACTGACTTTGTGCGTGACGGAAGAGAAAGCTTAAGGCTTTGGAAAGGTTGCAACTTGCATATTGTATATAAATATAGACTATATGTGCAACAAAAGGTAATATTGCCTCTCACTATAGTGTACTCTTGCTTTCGATTTCTGAAACACCAAACCCTATTCTCATGTTTTGATATGTTTGTATATATATATCTATAGGCATCCGAATCAAAATGTAAAAGGTGATGCCGTGATGTCTCTGCCGTTGTTGGCTATATTATAACGTCATACAGTATTATGTATTTAATCGATTTCATAATAACAAACAGAGATCCTAAAATTTCATCTCGTCGCTCACTGTGTGTCCTGTCCATTTCTCTCATAAGACGTCGCCTAGACTTTGGTACATTACAACTTCTTAAGAGAGTACGTACTTTATTTAAGTATGTTCACGTTCGAGTAATCTGTTACTTCCTAAATAAAGTAACCTTTATTCATTACAACACACGCATGCAACCTTTTATTGGCACATTTTTAATGCATGAGTTTAGAAACAACAAAATCCTAAAACACTTTATAGCCTTATGCATGCCACTTTTTATATTTTCCAAAATACTTCTAGAACATCTATATAATTCGAAGTCCCAACTCCCAAGAGAGAAAGGGCAAATACAACTTGGGACTTTGCATGGAACATTACTGTCTCTTCAATCTTGTACTCCCCATTTGTGGAGTTTTCTCTATATATATAACTCACCATCCTTCACTGACACAATATAGAGTATATAGACCTACTACGGCTTGTTAAATTAAGTTCAAAATATGGCAACGTTGAGAAACCATGCTAAATTCTTGAATGGATTTGCAAAGCTCTATAATGATCAATGGCAAGTCGACCTACGGCTCAAGGCAGGAGACTCTAAAAAGGATGAAACTATCTCTGTCCACAAATTTGCTATGGTTTCTAATCTTATCTTCTCTTATCTATTTTTTATTTATTTATCATTCTTCCGACTAAAAAGTGCTAATGATTATAATTTATCACTCCATAATAAGAATAATTTATCACTCCATAATGTTGTCCACAAATTTGTTATGGTTTCTATTCTTTTCTTCTCTTATCTAATTTGTATTCATTTATCATTCTTCCGACTTAAGAAAAAAAACTTGGAAATGTAATAATAATGATGGGTTTTTTTTGTTATACCTCAAATGTTAATATATAGGCAGCAAGATCAGAAGTGTTTAAGAAGATGTTGGAATCAGACAAGTTCAAGGCTTCGGATGGTAAGATCGAGACCATAACTCTCTTTGAACTTAAACAAGAAGCATTGGAGGCTTTTGTTGAGTTTATATACCACAGCTGCTCTATCCTTTCTGAAAAAGAGAAGAAACATGTTCAATCACTTTATATAGCAGGCGATAAATATGAGATCCCGCATTTGCGGGATCTATGCCGAAACGAGCTTATGTCATCTCTTGACTCATCAAATGCTCTTAACGTCTTGGAGCTGTCCATGATTCCTTTTGACAAAGTCTTGCATGACTTCGCTGCCAGCTTTATCATAAGGAATTTTGAGAGTATATGCAAAACTGCTGAGTTCAAGGCTTTTGTGCGCAAGAATCCAGATCTTTCTGTTGAATTAATGAGATCTTCTTACACTAAAATGTGGAATGGTCGTTATGTCGACTAGCTAGCTACAAGAATAACCAAATTGTAGCTTTCGTTTCATTCTAATAAATATATTTATTTTTTACACTACCATTTTTTTTTTTTTTTTGGGTCAAAATGTGAGAGTGAGACCGGTCTTGTAGAATTAGTGACTTATGCTCTAACCCTTTTCAAAGCTTGATTACATTACAACTTGGGACTTTGTTTATTTGGTTTTGTACGATTGCTAGCTAGCTCCTAAACCAAAACATGTAATTAAACCCTTCCTTATATGTACGTTGCCACCGCCACTGGTCATTGCACGAAAGACAAGTAGTTAATAAAGTGGTGTCGAGATCTCTCCAGGCCAATGAAACAACTAAAGATTTAAGCTTAGTTTATCTTGGAGTTTTCAATGGCGGCGATAGTGGCGATAGGGATGGTGGTATTGTAGATGTTTATAGAGTCCTGGCCAGACATTTCATTGTTTGTGAGATTTGGACGGGTGAAACAGCTAGCTTCAGGCATGATAACTGGACAGGTCTATGTACCAATTGACGCAGTGGTAAGGGTTGCACTATGAGGAAGAGCATGGTGGATTACCATAAGTAGAAGCAAGAAGCCAATCTCCATGAATAAAAGCGCCTTGTAAGATGTTGAGAGCTCGATGTATAAAAGCGCCTTGCTAGATGTCGAGACTAGAGAGAGCTCAGAGAGCATTATTGAATGTCAGCATGATAATGCTTATCTATGGAAAGCTATATAATCACCATGCTCCTTCAAATACATTCTCGACTGCAAAAACATGGCTAGCTTTAAATCTTGACATAATTTGTTGATTTTATATTCATGCAAATCTATTTTGACAATAATCTCTTTTGTTTTATTTAACAAACAAAGCGGTGAAAAGAGGAACTCAATCCCATCAAACCATGAATATTTACAAAACACAACACAACATGTGGCTTAGTGATTTCTCCCCACACCAAACCAATTCAATCAATGTTTTGAAGGATCAAGAACTTGACCCATGTGAACAAAATCACTCCGAGTTTGTGGCAAGAAATCCAAATCTTGCTGTAGATAACGAATGCTTTAATTTTCTGAATCCGATTGTGAAACCATTCGTAGATGATTCGGATGATGATTACAGTGACTAAAAGTAAAACACTTACGATGGAACCAGGCAAAAATTATGATTCGAGCAGTCGAGCTGATGATTGTTACAAGTGACTAGGGTTAAACACTTGCCTAGTGAAAATGAAGTAATTTTTTTTTTTTTTTGATAACTCAGGAGTGATTTCAAAGGCTTTCTATGCCCAAAAACTAATCTCCTGGGGCCAGGGTAACCAAACCATGTTAATTTTTTTTCTTTTTCCTTATATATGTAATAAAGAAGTTTAGAATGTTTTGTACGTTGTGAATTGTGACACTATATAAACTATGAAATCTAAAATCTTAGAAAGCGTTTTTTGTTTATTTTTATCACAATAAAGGGTTGAGATTATTTTTATCCTTACAAGTTTATAAAATTTCGTTACTGTGGTTTTAAACTTGTTCATGGCCAGGAACCCAATCATACATTGGAGATATTAAAGCATCCTCAAATATCAAATATCGGGAAAATTCCCAAACAAAACGTGACTTTATTAATATTTGTCAGAAAAGTGTAAGTGTAAATGTAAGAAAAGTTCCTTTACCGGCGTTCTTCGCTGAGAAAAGTGTAAGAAATTTTTCCTATAGGATTTCACCATGTTTTCTTTTGGTATCATTAGAAAACTTTACGAGAAGATACCAACACATGGTCTTACAAACCAAAGCTTGATATCATATTGAAAGAGCATGCATGGTAGATAGAACTAGCTAATCCATTATCAATTGTCTGTTAAGATTGGTGTGGTCATGCACTTTCTCGTTTAAGGTCTCCACAATCCACTATTAGGGATAACAATTACATTGGAAGTTCAGTAGGATCTTAAGTGGTATATATAAGTATGGACCTCTCCACTCATTAGGTTTTAAGTTGGAAGCCCACAATCCAATATCTACTTAACCTTCATGTAGACAATCTTGCCAGTCTTTCTGTTTTTATAAACATCCACGACGAAGACCGGCATATTAGGCTCAACCCTACCGGTCTCACATTATAATTATTTCAAAATTAAGTGCAAAGAAATTTGACAAATATGAAGAAAAAAAATATGGATAAAGATATTTTTATTTAATATTAGAAATGAAATCATTACCAAAAAAGAAATTATTAGAAATGAAACAAAGATACAATTTGGTTCTTCTTGTAGCTACTAGCTAGTCAGACATAACGAACACTCCACTTCTGAGTGTAAGAAGCTTTCATCAATTCAACAGAAAAATCTGGATTCTTGCGAACGAAAGCCTTAAACTCAGCAGTTTTGCATATAGTCTTAAAATTCCTTACGATAAATTTGGCAGCAGAGTCATTCAAGGCTTTGTCAGAAGTAATCATGGACAGCTCCAAGACGTTAAGAGCATTAGGTAAGTCCAGAGATGCTATAAGCTCGTTTCTGCATAGATCCCGCAAAAGCAGAACCTCATATTTGTCAGCTGCTATATAAAGTGATGGAACATGTTTCTTCTCTTTTTCAGAAAGGATAGAGCTGTTGTGGTATATAAACTCAACAAAAGCCTCCAATGCTTCTTGTTTAAGTTCAAAGAGAGTTATTGTCTCTATCTTACCATCAGAAGCCTTGAACTTGTCTGATTCCAGAATCTTCTTAAACACTTCTGATCTTGCTGCCTATATATTAACATTTTAGGTATAACAAAACCCATTATTATTAATACATTTCCAAGTTTTTTTCTTAAGTCGGAAGAATGATAAATGAATAGATAAGAGAAGAGAAGAATATAAACCATAACAAATTTGTGGACAGACATAGCTTCACCCTTTTTAGAGTCTCTTGCCTTAAGCCTTAGGTCGACTTGCCATTGATCAAGATATAGCTTTGCAAATCCATTCAAGAATGCATCTAGGCTTCTCACCATTGCCATAACTTGAACTTCATTTAACAAGCCATTGATCAATAATCTGAAGGATGGTGAGTTAAATAAAGAAGACTCCACAAACGGCATTGCAAAAATGTTCCATGCCAAGTCCCAAGATTGGAGAGAGTAATGTCCAATGCCAAGTCCCAAGTTTTATTTGCCCTTCTCTCTTGGGAGTTGGGACTTTGAATTGTATATGAATGTTTTAGAAGTATTGTGGAAAATATAAGAAGTGGTTTATGGCAATAAAGTGTTTAGTTTTTCTTTTCTTTTGTTGATTCTTAAACTCACGCATTAAACGCATGCATGCAACCTTTGCATAGAAACTTGTTACACGTTCAAATAATGTTTTACGTTCATTTCCTATATCCGATATTCAATTTATTTTCTCGGTGTTCATAAAAATATATTGCGAAGTGGTATCGTGGGAATTAACCAATAGAATTTAGTCAACAAAACCATAAACATAAAGTCTTTTGTGTAACTTGTAACATTATGAAATTTTCAGCCAGTTTGACCATCTTTTTGTGACTGTTAGTTTGCTATATATATACATAACCCTTAAACCCTAACATCTTAGTCTAATAGGTAAAACACTAGAATTGTTATATTGTTTGCTTTACTTGGAACAAAAGCTACTTGGAACAAAAGCTACTTTAAACAAAAGCTACATATTATAACTATCTAAATTTAATATGTTTTTTGTTTGTTTTACATCTTGTGAATCTAATATATTTCTAATAGGAAAATAACCACACTTTTTATTTCATTTGAGATTAATTAACTTGGATTTGCAAAAAAAAAAAAAAAATTTGATTAATACATGTTCTTCAATTTTATATTTTTGGTAAGAAAATCACCAAATATATATGTGGTCATGTGGATTCAACTTTAATCAAGTTTGATTATTTTGGTTGGGTTGAATTTTAAGTAATTCTTTCGAAAATTTTGTGTTGGACCAAACTTAAGTATTGTATATGGAAAAAGTTATAATACTATTTACTGAAAAAAAGTATGGTTATTTTCCTACGAACTGTCTAGTATACATGAAATGTTATTTTTGAGTCAAAGCAGTTTAATCAATAAGTATTCAGATATATGTGATTTTGTAGGTCACAAGAGTATTTTGAACTAAACAAACAAAAAAATACGTTGGAACTACAAGAAAATGACCGATTTCCTACGGAGAGATACGTAAAAAAATGGTAGAAAACAATCATTTCTATCCATTTTCCTACATAAAATTTGGTAGGAAACCTCCCGTACGAAATCGTAAATGGTACGAATTTGGTAGAAAATTTCCTATTTCCTACCAAAATTTGTCGTAGGGTATTTCCTACCAAAATTCTGTCACATTTCCTACAAAATCTTTTTTTGGTAGGATTTTCGTAGGATATGTTTTTGACTTTCAATTTCCTACGACATTCGTTTTTCGTAAAAAAATACTAGGTAAATGGTAGGAAATACCCTACCACATGTTTGGTAGGAAATTGATAGATTTTCGGCTTGTATTCTTGTAGTTGATATTAAATATATGTAAGAGAATTAATACTCCATAAACCAAGAAGCAATTTAATTATATTTTCAAAAATACTTCAGAAACATCCGTTTGGTTTTTAAAATTCTAAATAGTTGGGACTTGGGACTATGTTATTAGCATTAACTAATGTCTCTCTCATCTAGTAAGTCTTGGGAAACAAAGAAGGTATAAATTAACAAGGGTAACTTTGACTGCCGCTTATGGAGTTTTCTCTATATATATACACCTCACCACACCGCTTGTGTACTATATCAAGTTCTAGTTATAGCAACTATGGTAAAGCAGAGCAACTCAGAACAATGGCAAGTTGATCTACGGCTCAAGGCAGGTGACACTGAAGATGGTGCAGCTATCTCCGTCCACAAACTTGTCATGGTCTCTAATTTTCCTCTCTAGTATCTCTTCTCTCTAGTCTTAATATTTATCATTCCCATATAACTTTAGTAATTATTATATAACATAACATTTGATATTGATACCACTTCAGAAATGCTTTTGATAATTTATTGCTGTACCATCAAATGTTTATAGGCAGCAAGATCAGAAGTGTTCAAGAAGATGCTCGAATCCGACAATATCAAGACTTCGGATGGTAATATCGAGACAGTAACTCTCCATGTGCTTAAACAAGAAGAGTTGGAGGCTTTAGTTGAGTTCATCTACAACAACCGGTCCGTGCTTTCTTTAAAAGAGAAGAAACATGTGCAATCACTTTACATAGCAGCGGACAAATACAAGATCCCGCATTTGCGGGATCTCTGCAGAAACGAGCTTATATCATCTCTTAACTTAGCAAATGTTCTTAACTTCATGGAGCTGTCCTTGATTCCTTTTGACAAAGCGTTGAACGACTCCGCTGCCAAATTTATCGTAAGGAACTTAGGGACGATTTGTAAAACTGTTGAGCTCAAGGATTTCGTTAGGAGGAATCCGGATCTTGTAGCTGAGATACTTAGGTCTTCTTTGACTGGTATGTGGAATGGTCAGTATATCTAGCTACTAGAAGAACCATATTGTATCTTTTCATTTCATTCTAAGAAATTGTTGGAACCCTTTTGTTTTTATCTATATTTGGCAAAAATTTACAAGTATTATTATTGTTTCCTGTTCTGCATCATTCTCACTCTATCTATGCATTCATCATCTTCTTCTTATTATAAGAGTCCCAATCTTGCATTCTTCTCAAAAACAGTTCCAAATAAAGCTTGAAAGCTTAAAGGATAAGAAAGCTTCAGCCTTGAGAGGTTACAAAAATCTTAGCAAATGTATTAGCTACAATCTGAAAAAATTCTATGTTCCTACATGGGCACACGATAAAAATTGGATATCGGATATCGGAATATGTCCTTTACAAGTTTGTATGTATCCATTATAAAATAAAATAAAAAGTTTGCATGCATGCATTTATTAGATTTTAAAATAAATAAATAAATAAATAAAAGGGACATTTTCTAAAATACCACCATTTTTGTTTTTAGGACAAAAATACCACAAGATTAAAATTAAATTTTAAATTTTCAAACTTTAAATTCTAAATTCTAAACATTAAACTTACCCCCTAAATACTATATCCTGAATTGTAAATAATAAATCCAAACCAAAGATTTAAAATTCCATACCATGATTTTAGTTGTATTTTTGGAAAAAAACCAAAATAATGGTATTTTGAGGAATTCCTCTAAAAAATAATACGATATCAATAAAATGTTAAAAATAAATTGTAATTATATTATTAAAAAAAAAAAAAACAAAAAAACACGTTTGATACACAACTAATACGATACGAGTATGTGGACTGTGGCTAACCAAACCAAACCAAACCCAAACCACATTTTTTTTTGCCATCAATGAAGACACGCTTTCAAATTCAACAACAATCCTCTTTCTCTCTTGTATATATATATATCCAACAACACATGATCTCACTCAATATCTCACTTTTTACAATCATACCCTTCACTTTCCCAAATCTCTCATTTTCCTCCCACCACTTTTATTTTCCAGAAATCAAATCAATCACCATGGGAGATGTTGCTGTTCTCCATCCTCCTCGTGATATCTTCTCCACTAACAACAACCTTCCTCTTCCTCACCGTCACATAAAACCGTTAACAAATCGCCGTCGCCGGAGTCCGCCACGTCACCAATCCCCGATCTCTCCTCCTCTCAACCGCGGCGAAGATATCAAACCAGATCTGAAACATAACCGTCAGATCGGTACAAATCCGGTTAAGATTCCGACTCCGGTCAGAGCTCCGGCTTTGTTTTACGCTGGTCCAGTCACATCGACATCTCCGCCGCCTAGTGAAGTACCTTTACCAGCGTTCTTCGCTAAGAAAAGCGTCTCAAGCGATGCAATTGCAACAAACGATCTCATCAGAATCCTCCGTTTAGATATTGCTTGATCCATTTCTTCCTCCGATTCCGCCGTCGTTAACTCCATTTCTCTTCTCCGATCATCGGAATTTAGAACTTTTTTTTTCGAATTCCTTCTCTTATTTTTTCAAGGGGAAAGATCGAAAAAAAAATATCTTCTTAGGGACTTAGTGTAGTAATAGTAATAATGTGAATAAGCTTTTTTCTCATTTGGTTTGTTTAAGTGTGACTCTTTAGGCTAGTGGTATCAATGTTATTATCTTTCTAAGTATTTTTTTTTTTTTTCAATCTTATTGTTAAATCAAATTTGCTCTTTAATCTTTGGATACTTTTTTTATCTTTGATGATCTTCATTTGAATCTTCATAGAGATCATGTGCTAACAGTTTTGGACAAAGGCAATTCATCATATCACTTTTAGAGATAGGTTTTGTAGTTAGCTACATTTTAAATTTCATGGACTATCATCTGAGTCATGTGCTTTACTCATTGCATCCACCACTAGATTATAAAGAAATATAGTTTTAAATTGTAAAACATTAATATAAATATATACCAATATATGTGTATGTGTTCTGGAGTGAATTTGTAACTATCAGATACATGTAAAGTTAGTTAAGTTAACGGAGAAAATATTGGAAGCAGAAACTCATATGAGTTGCATCAAATCAATCGCAAACCAGAGAAAATTTAGCTTATATATGTTTTAGCTGACGAATTTTATATATAATAAAAATAGAGACAACACCATTGTAAATCCGTAATTTTACAAAACTAATGGCATTTGATTATTAACACATATAACTCTGAGATTTATTGTTAATCTAAAATCATACCATACAAATGTAGCAATCAACACACAATCCACAAAAATGCTGTAATATTTTCTTCTATTGGCATATGTCTGTATTATTTTTATGCTGTAAAACCTGTATGACTCTAGGGTCATGGCTTTTATATAATTAAGTTAAGAAAAAAAAACACAACCCACAAAAATTTAACAGGATAGCACAAAAATCAAAGAATAAAATGAGATTAGAATCCTCGCTCACATCCCTTAGATTCTAGTCTCCCTAACTCAGTCTCATAGAAACTAGCATTATCATATTTTGTTTTTACAATATTCATATTCAAACTTATTATGAATGCAATTATGTACTAATTTTGTGCTTCTATGTTGAATATTTTTGATGCCGGACTGCAATTTTATGCTTCTAATGTTATGTATAATGTTCTTTCATAGGCTTACAATACGCTATGAATCATGGGATGCCAAGAAAAAATGAGTGGAATACTAGCGGGTGTGGAAATAATAATTTACCTGCTGGTGATCTTGACAATGTGAGACTCAAACATGTAGTGAATGATGTGAAATGTTTATTTGGTGTGAACAAGGCACTAGATTATTTGAGAATCCAACCAATTCTATAATAGAAAAACAATAACATATGTCATATGATTTCAACTTTGTCATTGGAAATAGAAAACTTTATGTCATTTATCAATATTTATTTTGGTTTCATGAGACCACTATAGTTTCAGGAAAGCTATGTCTATACATATGTTTGTTGCACATACTACATGTCAGAAAATGGTGGATTTCGACATCTCATGATTATATATGGTGGATTTCCGGAAACACTAAGTGGTCTCATGAGACCAAAATAACTATTGATAAATGTATAATTCACTTTTATATATATTTACACACACACATATATATATATATATATATATAATTTTTGTTTGAGAATTTTTGAGAAATACCCCTTTTGGTGTACTCTTTTAAAAAATACCCCTCTTTTCTATCCATTTTCAAAAATATCCCTTTTCAAATATGAAAAATTATTAACTTTTATATGGTTGATAAGGTACATCAAGATTATCATTACTATGGGGAGACTAAATCCAAATATTTATCAGGTTTTAAAAGGTTCTAAACGGCATTTATAAGGTTTTTATAAGGTTTTTAAAATGTTTACAAAGTTTTTATAAGGTTTTTAAATGATTTTTAAAAGGTATTTATATGGTATTTATGAAATATATTTATAAATTTACACACATATAAAGATAATTTGTGTCTATAAATATAAGCTTACACATATTTTTTGATAAATTTCAAATTTCATAGTGACTTTTTGATGCAATTAGAAAGAAGGGTATTTTTAAAAAGTGGTATTGGAAAATAGGTATTTTTGAAATTCCCCTTTTTATTTTTAGGGTCTGTTCAATGTAAGGATAAGGTATAAAGTTCAAGGGTTTAGGGTATGTTTAGTGTAAAAGATAGTTTTAATTAGTAGCTATTAATAATTATATGCAAATTAAAGAATAATATAAATACAATTCATTACATAAATGTGTATATATATATATATATTATAACAACATTGTGTTTGAACAATATTATTTACACATTAAGAAGATTAGATTACATGTTGGCTTCTAGTAACATTATGCCTTATCATAATTTTGCATATTAAATATAGAAAAACGTTCTAAATATTTTTATTGGATTTTTTAAAAAATTTGATAAACGAATTAATTAGTCAACAAATATTTTTTTTAAAAATTAGTAAATTGCAAATTAGCATACATATCACATTATTCACCAAAAAGCATACATAGCACATTTTTATGCCTTCACAAGGTTTCATTCAATTGCTGATGTGAAGAATTCTCACCCATTCCTCACAAGTCACACCATCTAAAATAAATGGTGAATCATTCCAATCAAAGTATACCACTCGAATACAGGATGTGGCGAGATCTTAGACTTCGATCGGTCAGCCTTTTTCATCTCCCTTGGCGACGAGATACGAGTCCGAGGAAGAGAAACATGTTAACTCTTATTCTTCTTCCCCACCTTCAACTTTTATGATTTTATCACTTGACTTTGGAGAAGCTACATATACTTTATATTGTTACCGCTTGACCAACTCTTCATTTGTTTTCGACAAAATACTAGGGGTTCGAATGGTTATAGTGGTTCAAGTGGAGAAAACCGTTTGTGGACCGAACCGTATTTTATGTACCATTCACTAATTATGTCCTAGTAGCGTGAATTCAAAGAAAACAAAACAAAACCGCTGTGCACCATATGCGGACCGTTATTATATACCAACTCTGTTTGTTGTCCGCCCCGAAAATAGGGTGGACTAAACCGCATACAGATTTGTCCATCCCAACCGCTGTAACCATTCACATCCTAGTTATGGATCGAAAGATTCTCAAATTTATCCTCTCAATACTTATCTCGATTTAATGATTCTTAGTTGTTGTTCCAGGTACAAGAAGATTTGTAGAGATTTTTATGCATCCAATGATTATTGTCTTACTCTTCTCATCCTTCAATAGTCATTATTTTAAGAGTATGGTGTTTCTCCTCACTCTCTTTTTATGTAATGGTTTTAGCTACATGTTAGTGTTTTCTTATTCGACTGGATTAGATTAAAAACAATAAAATTTTGGCAGTAAATAGCTACATTTGTCTAAATTAATAAAGACGATATGAAATTTTGTTTTCTTCTTATTTTTGGTGTATGATTGATTATGAAACATGATACCTCTCCATGGGCATATTATTTCCTAATAATGACTCAAATTTTGTCTAAACCAGTTCTCTTTTTATTTTTCAATTCATAAATCTTTGACTTAGAATTGAATATATGAGTAAGGAAAACGATGCAATAGAGTTAAAAGGAATATAATTTTGCTTAGGAAAAAAGAATGTTTTTTCTTTTTTGGAATAATTAAGGTTTTTGACCAAAACTCATACATTCACTCTTGAAACCAGAACAAGTTATAAGATCTCGTCCCAAACGTCATTTAAACCGAATACCTCTAGAATTTTGCCAAAATATTTTTACTAATCAAGCTATTAGCTCTTGGTTAAAGAATGTATTTTCAAGATGCCCAGTTGGGAATATTAGCCGTAGCTTCGTTTATCATTTTCACCAATGTCACCTGCAATGTGTTATATACCCACTTAATGATCAGAACTGAGCAAAAACAAAATTTAAAGCAAACAAATGAGAGAAGATTCATTGAAGCTATATATCTATACCACGCTCTCGGGAACTCCTTGGGGAGGCAATGCGAGATTTCTTGGAGGCGGTTTACTCCCGTAAGACCGTTTGTCGAATCTCCATTCTCCAATCTTTCCGATCATCATATTCCCCTGTAAATTATATAACCAAGGTATACAATATAAAACTTACAATATAACCAATAGATACAATATAAAACCAAGCTTATCTAATTCATTCATCAACTTAAACTTGTTTTATTGCTAGCTAGTTGTTAATTTCAAGGTTTACTTACCTTCATGTCGAAATCGCAGCCGTAAGTGTAATGTATTATGTACGTATTCTTTGTTTCAGTGTCCCAAGGAGGCTATATACCAAACAGACAAAACATGACTTGTTATGTTACACAATTTCAAAAGCTTTGATAGAATATATAAAGATAATATATTGATCAAAACCTGAATCATGAAGTCTTTGTGTAGAATGTTGCTCACGCCGTGTAACGCAGAAGAAACAGCATATGCATACCTTATATAGTATAAATCAAACATAGACCAATTAAACAAAAACCATATATCTAGCTAGAATTAGAGAGGTCACATTAGAGAAGAGAGAAATTTACATTTCAAGGACCCAACCAAAAGCTTTATCTGTTTGTGGGTCATTCTTCATAGCCAAAGAAACGTTCATCCATGTTGGAGCAATTTTCATCAATGATTTCTAGAAAATCAAGAAAAGTATTAGCCATGGAACAATATATGCGGTTCGCGGAAAGATTTTAATTTAGTAATGTGATTATTATTATACCTTAGCGACAATCACAGGAGAATTCCCGATTGGATCAATTCTTGATATCAGTCCATTCTCTTTGGGGAAGAATTTGCGGAGAACGGATTCATATTTCTTCGGTTCAATGTAGAAGAACGGAAATGCAGCCGCGAGATTGCCTCTGGCTAGGTTTGGTATAGGTTTAACTATGATATGATCAGGTTCCGCCATGAGAATGTAACTGACATGATGTTCAATAAAAGAGACAAATATATGAACATCAAAAGCAACTCTAAGTTGAGGTATTACTCAAAAATTAAAATTAATCAAGACCTTTAGGTATTAAAAGTATTTATGAAAACTAGGAATGACAATGTAGAAGGATACTTACTCTTCCTCTATATGTGCTTGTTGAAGCCATTGCACAAACGCCCAAGGCCTATTTAAAACTACATATCCCTGTTCATTATATATACAAGTTATGTAAGTACAACACATCATATTATTTTTTTTATCTTTTTATGTAAATCTTTTTTGAAATTCCTATCCTTAGAATAAAGCCTCGACACATCTAT